CCAATAATAAGAATATGTTGAATGTGTGACACATTTCAGTGTCCTTCTTTATATAGAAATAATAGGACAGTCTCAAACAAAAATCCTGGAGAAATAATAAAATAAGCAAGAACAAAGGAAAGAAACAAATATAGGGAAAAGTGAGAAGAAGAAAGACGTGAAAGAAGGATGGAGGGAGGGAGGAGAGTAAGGAAAAATGAGCGTAGCAGGGAGGTAAAAAGGGAAAAGAATTGGAAGGACAAACCAGGCAGCAACATTGGACCAATTTTTCTCAGTTCCTAGGCCACTCAACCTAAGACCAACGATCAGTACTTCAAACATCTGAGTTCCAGTTTCTGGGCTATGAATAGACAGGGTCAAAGAGTCAAAGAGGCCTAGAGGAACCCTGGAGGATCCCCATTTGATACTATTTTGAGAGGGGCTAGAAACACAGCTCTTAACAATATTGACAACAAAAAAGCAAATAAATAAAAATACTGGAATCTATTTCCAAACCTACTGGAAAACAAAAGAGGTCTATAAAGTAATTTGTAGAACGGAGGAATATATATATATATATATGCAATATTTATAAATATATATTTATATATAAATATAGTAAATATACGAAGTTTAACCCACTGCCTAGTTTTCATAGTGCTATAAAGTACTATGCATGCTCCTATAAAAAAGTAATCATTAACCTACCCAACTCTGATCTCTGTGAGCTATAAAAATGACTAGCCTGGCAAGACATGCACACTGGTGCAATAGTGGCTTAGATACTATGGGAATAGCCAACCACCATTTGATTGGATTTAAAGTCCATTCCACAAGATAAAATCTATACCTGTACCCATGATTGGAGCAAGAACCTGTGACTTATCAGGTCAGAGCCAATAGGGGAGAACCTACTATTATTATTTTGCTAAATTCACATAGTATTAAAATGACTCCTAAAGACATATCATTACATCCATAGATTAATGCATCTCTCTACCCTCATCATATTAGCTTTTCTTCCAATAGATGATTAAAAAAGAGACCTAAAACTGGCCAACATGCAGAAAATAAGAGACTGCAGAATCTTCAGCCTTAACTGTGACATCTATATCAATCCCCTCCCAAGGCTCATAGATCATTGCAGAAGTGGGGATGGACATATTGTAAGAGTCAGAGGCAGTGGATAACTATAATGTAACAGTGTTTTCTGGACACAAGAGGGCTGTCTCACATATGAACACCCAGAGACTGTGAGAGTATCACAAGACTGAAGCCAGGCAAAATATCAATATGGAGAGGGAGGTGGCTATTGCATAGCTAGTTCCAAAAAACAAAGGGACTCATATTAGTCCAATTATTTAATTACAAATCACATGTACAATATCTCTACCTGAGTCCAAGCATATAGCTATAGTCCAAGCACAAGAAGCAGTGCCAGACAGGAGAAATCTTCCTTTGAGCTGTTAGTTAGGGTGTTCCAAGAGACCTCCAAAAGTACACAAGCTATTGCCACAGCCCTTGATTGCCTCACAGAATTTGATTGTCAGACCCTACTGCTGAAGACAGAACACACTTCAGACACAGGATTTGGAGCCATGGACCTGGAAGTGAACCATCAGCCATTTCCTCTCAAGGATAGCTCTCACAGCTTTGGAGAGCACTGTGAAGGTGCCAAAGAAGAACATCAATTGATGGTCCAACAGCAGCTTCAAGACTAAAGAACCACTCCAATGGCTAGCACAGCATACAGCATTGGTGCAGTAGTGGCAGTTTATCTTGGGGGTAATCAACAGCTACCTACTTGGAATAAAATCCCACTCATTAGGAGAAAACTCAAATGTGCTCAAATGTGTAAACATTTGTACTGTAAACATAACCAAATACACACTGCAAGAGTGGTCATAGACAAAACCCACACAATGTCACATCCCTACAATAATGTAATTTGTTACCATATGCAAAATATATATCCTTATATTTACAGACAAATATTCCAGTCATCACTCATCAAAGAAGCTTCTTTTGGCCCAGACAATTACTAAGTACCACAACTGGTCACACACGGACATTATCTATGATTGCTCAGGCCTAAGCAACAAATCTACAAGGTAACCTCTACACCTAATGCTCATAGAGGATAAAACAGGGTAAAGAGATCTCTAATGAACCTCTCAATTCTCATTAATGTGTCCCTCAGACAACAAAGGCCCAGGAACAAATGGCCAAAGCCCAGAGATTAAAAGTCTGCAGAATTCTGGTTCTTGGGCAGGACTCCTATACTAAACTTCACCCACCCAGGGTTCAGGGACCATTTCTGAGGGGGCAGAAAGTTTGTAAGAGCCAGGGAAGAGGTGCATGACCATATGGAAATTGAGTCCTACAAGCTCCTGGGACCCTGCTTATATGCATCAATAGCAAAGTTGTCAGGGTGCACAAGTCCTATGCAAACTCAAGCAGACAAAAACCCAGCATAGAACTGGGGAAATGGACAGCAGACCCCAATATTAATTGAAGAAATATTTGCAACTGATTACTGCTAGGTGAGGAAGAGCTGATCTTCCTAAAGCAAGGGATTCTAGATAAGCTGACTAGACCTCAGTAGATGAACTTGCACTGAGGAGTGTCTGGGGACACTAACTTGACAAACAGGTCTTAACACAAATGACAGAATGTGTGAATTCCAGTGGGAGGGCTATGGGAAAATACCAGTGGGGACAGGATGTAAAAATGATCAAGACTGATTGAGATGTACTGTATGAAATACAAAACAATTCAATATAAACAAATTTAAAAAAACATTGATGATTCATGTTAGTAAAGTGGGGGTGGGAATTGCAAGGCCTGCTGAGTCAATGACAATTAAAGACCATACTGGTTCTTTTTCAGTGCTCTGCCACTCATTGTCTATTCATTAAATAATATGTTGGCTGTTAGAAAGTGGGTATCCTGGCTTTTTGACTATATTTGCAGTGATTTTTACGTTCTCTAGTTAGTTCCAGGATATGTAAAGTTCCAACACCACCTGGAATTCAAGTTCTGAGGAATGAATCTACTAAACAGGTCTTCAGCATTTATTTGCTTTTCTTTATGGATGTTCATAAAGTATTTCATTCTTCAGTTAGACTCTAGATTGACATGAAAGATCAACAATTTTCATATGTGAATTTTTCATTAAATAATCCTTTATTAAATTGAAAGAGCTCCTGACCAATGGCTAAAATCTATGTAAAAGTGACTCAAGAGAAATCTTTCCTCCTTTGGTAGTTTTACTATGATGATGGATCACAGTAATGAAAAGTGACTTAAAATTTTATTTAGAGCAGTGTAAAATCAGAGACAGATCAATGAAACAAAATGGTTGGGAAAAAATGTTAGAATCGGGACACTTTGTTCTGTGGGATTTAAGAGCATGGAGATATTTATCTTCATGTCTAACATAGACTTCACACCACATAACTCCATCCTGTAGGCATCTAGATGTTGTGACTTAGAAAACAGAATAGTTACATGCATAATCTCTCTTACTAGGACTTATAGGTTAAGAGAAAGTAGGCAGTTTTTTAATATATTTTTTCTGTCTTTCTTTTTTTCCTTTCATTTCTCTTCCTTTGCCTTTTCCTTCATGTCTTAAAAGTTCTGCCTTGTCATCTAAAAATATAATTTTTATGCATTAATATAGAAGAATTGGCAAAAATTGATACTAGAGATAGTCTTCAAGGATATTCAATTGTCTTTTGTCCTAAACTGAGTAGCTTCAGAGGTGGGGAAGGTTAAAAAAATCCTGAATCAGAGAGGATTTGAAGATGAGTAGTAATGGACTTTGAGCAGATATACTACCAGAATCTTTGAAACAGTAAAAAGTTTATTTGTATCATTAAACACAAAGAAAATGCCTCTTAGTTATTCCAGCTGTGTAGAAGGTGCTTGTGTCTGTACGCAACACTTCTGTCATAATCTGTTGACAGCTACCCTACGGGGATTGCATTTCAGAGTACATTGAGCATGTGAACAGTGTCCTCACCCATCCCACTACTCTGGACAATCACTCTGAGCACACAGTATCATGACACTGATGGGGGAACACCATATGAATCAATTCTAGCTACAGAAAATGTTGGGCTTCTACATTCATTCCTGTACACTTCTCCGTTCATCTTGCCTGATCTCCACTGACCTAATCACAACCATAGAGATCTGCATTCTCTTAGGTGCCAGGGCATATGTGATGAGGACAGAATATGCCAGTGAGCACATAACATTGAAAAACTGAATGGCACTTATTATAGTGAACCACCTTTTCAGAAGATAATAGTGGTTTATGTTAAGCTGGGAGAGATGCAGGAACAATAATTTGAGGGACTGAAGGAAAAGCAGCAATGATACAGTATAATTACAAGCAGAGCTAGGAGGGCGATTCATACTCAAGCAATGGGAAGTATGAAAATTCCTGACCTTGAGTGGTTTTGATGGAAGTTATTAGGAAGTAAACTGATAATTTCAGGAACAAATTCGGCTTAGCTGGAGATGACAGGTGCACCTGTTTAGTAATTTTTTTTCAATCACACTCAAACAGGAACAATAATGTAGAGCATATAGCAAGTATTTTGTGATTAATAAAATTCATAGGCACCAAAGAAAGAAGTGAATAAGTTTCCATCAAATTTCTATGATTACTTCAGAAGGACTCCCACTGTTCTTAATGTAAATATAGTAGAAAATCATATATAGGAATTGTTAAATAAAATCTCACTATTCATGGGATTCTTGATTGTATTTATCTTTGACTCACGTAGACAAACATGTTCTCTCAAGACTAACTTTTGTTGTCACTGTCTATCTTGGACACCTGTGGAACCGTTGGCCTTGGTTGAGTCTCTGAGATGAAATCAATGAAATCCTGCAGCTGTATCAAACCCTGCCAGTCCCCTCTCATTTGCATGTGCTGAAGACACAGCCCACTGCACTAAGGATTTATAATATTCTGTTCATGTACTGAGAAGGAGTTAATCTCACTGAGGTCACACCATGGACATGAGGGCCCCCTCTCAACTCCTGGGGCTTCTACTGCTGTGGTTTTCAGGTATGGAAAGGCAGCACTGGGGAACTTTGCTGGCCAGAGTGGTCAGTGCCGGGTGACTTTTTAAGAAAGGCACCATGCAACATGGTTATTCAGTGTATATTTTTTTGCATTTCTTATCTTAGGTGTGAGATGTGACATCCTAATGACTCAGTCTCCATCCTTACTGTCTGTATCTCTGGGAGACAGAGTCACCATCAACTGCAAGGCCAGTGAGAACATTAATAGTTGGTTAGCTTGGTATCAGCAGAAACCAGGGGAAGCTCCTAAACTCCTGATCTACCTGGCATCCAAACTGAAAACTGGGATCCCATCAAGGTTCAGTGGCAGTGGATCTGGTACAGATTTCACTCTCACCATCAGCAGCGTGGAACCTGAAGACATTGCCACTTACTACTGTCACCAGTATACTAGTACCCTTCCCACAGTGATTCAAGTCATAGCACAAACCTCACAGGGAAACAGATGTGTGTGGCTTCGCTGCCCAGCTGCTCCTGTTGGTATGTGCAACTGTACCCTATCCAGGTGAAGTTACTTGTCAATGTTTACTGGAAAGTTTTAGTAGAAGGGGTCAGAGGGGCTGCTCTATATCCCACTTCTCATTCCTTTTTTTCAGTCCCAGAAGCACAGACAAGACTATGCCTCCCCAGGATTAATAAAGAATTCATTTCATGACATGGAAGGTGCTTGGGTTTAACTTACTAGGAATTAAATTTCCATTTCAAAAACAGGAGGCAGTGTAGTTATTGGAATTGTTTTAAATGTCCTAATGAAGTTAATAGGAATTTAAACTAGTGTCATTATCTCTAGCAATTATTAGGAAGATTGATGGCAGGAAGGGGAGATCTTTGGTCTTTCCATCTACTTTAAGTTATAAACGGCCTCTGATGCTTTCAGCCTCAGACATGTTTTGGAACCCTGGGGTTAGGTTCCAGATGCTCTAAGTTGCCTGTGGCTCCTTAACTGCTGGTTCTCCTCAACTGTCTCCATGCATCTAAATTCTAAAACTTATAAGGAGTCCATTATTGATAAAATCAATAAAGGGATTCTGACATTATCAAAGCAGATACAACTTAATAATATATGCATTTTCTGCTCAAATTTAGTAAGCTGTCTTTAAAGGGATACTACTTTTAATTAAAATGAATATGATATTCATAAATTAGGTTCTTGTTATCTCTTTAGGTATAGTATGCTCAGAAGCAGATACAACTTAATAATATATGCATTTTCTGCTTAAATTTAGTAAGCTATCTTTAAAGGGATACTACTTTTAATTAAAATGAACATGATATTCATAAATTAGGTTCTTGTTATCTCTTTAGGTATAGTATGCTCAGAAGTTATTATGATACAAATCATTTCAAAATATTTCAAACTCCCTCATGTAACTAAGAATTATTGAATCAAAACTGAACCATTTCCATCTATTTTTTATATTTTATTTATTTATATTTTATGTGTATGAATGTATTGCCTGCATGTAGGTAAGTGCACCCATGTCATACAGTGTCTGCAAGTGCCTGTGGAGGACAGAAGAGGGCATCGGATTCCCCTAGAACTGGAGTTAAGGACTGTTTTTAGCTGCCATGTGGGTGCAGGGAATCGAACCCAGGTCCTCTGCAAGAACAGTCAGTACTCTTAACTGCTAAGCAATCTTTTCAATCCCTCATTTGCATCTTTTGGCAAATTTATTCAGTTTATTCATCCATCACAAGTTCCACTACCATCAGCTTGAAGAAATTATTTTCTTGGAGGGAGAAGTGTCTTTTCATTGGGCTACCCATGTCTTTCTCTTATATCTGAGAGGTATAGGAACCATACACAGTCTAGACTTTGAGTGGATTATTAACATAGAAATCTAGTCTTTGTGGGAAGAGATTCTAAACAAATAGTTTAGCCAAAGGTCATCTGTAGCCATTTCTTTCTGCAGGACTTTTTTTTCTTTATTGAGTATTATGTATATTTCCTTATCTTTTCTGACTAGTTTTGCTTTAAAGATTATTTTGGCAGATACTAGAACAGGTATGCCTGCTTATTTCTTAGATCCATTTGTTTGGGGCAGCTTTTTCCATTCTTTTACCCTAAGGTGGTGTCTCTCGTTGATGATGAGGTGTGTTTCTTGGAAGCAACAAAAGATGGCTCCTGTTTTTTTTTGTTTTGTTTTGTTTTGTTTTTTAATTCAGTGTGTTAGTCTGTGTCTCTTTATTGGGAATTGAGACCATTAATATTTAGAGCTATTAATTCTTGTTATTTTGCTAATTTAGGGGTGCTTTCATAGTTCTCTTTTGAATACCTGTCCTGGCATTGTTCACTTATTCTCTGTGATTGCTTGAGTGTTTTCATCCTTATCTTCAAGCTGGAAAAGACAAAGGGTCGAACGTTTCTCTAAAACCTGTGGAGGAAACCACAGGGAGCCCTGCCTACCCACAGCCCAATAATGGCTCCTGGAGACTTATGCCAGAATTTTAGGTTCCATCCATATGAGAGATTTCATTACTTCTTTTTTTTAAATTCATAACTTTATTTGAGGACAAGATGAAAAGTTGAAGGCTTAGAACTGGAGAGATGACTTAGCAGTTAAGTGCACTAGCTGTTCTTGCAGAAGACTAGGGTTAGAATCCCAGAACCACATGATGGTTAAGAACTGTCTGTAACTCCAGTTCCAGAGAATTTGATGCCCTCTTCTGTCCTCTGCAGGCACTGCAGGACACAGGTGCACTCACACACATGCAGGCATAACACTCATACATAAAATGAAAATAAATTAATTTTTGAAAACAGAAAAGATGAAGCCTTTTTATGGCTGAGACTTGTATGCTCAGTAAAAGTTAAGACTTTCTGAATCCTGGCATTATTATAGCAAACAGGTTATAAATGCACAGCAGAGAGATGCACAGTGAGGAAATGAAGCAATTGGTTTATGTACTTTTTTGGTAATTTTTTACGCCAAACCTTTGGAACTTGCAGAAACTAGGCTTCAAGAATCAGAACAGGAAAACTGCTTTGATTTTTTGTTGTCTTTTTTCACTTTTTCTTCTTTTCTTCCTTCTTTTTTCCATTTCTTATTTTTCTTTTTTGTGTTTGTGTGTGTATAGATTAACTTACACATATATGTGCATTTGTATGCACTAATGAACACATGAGCCAGAGCTTGGAAAGCAAGCTCCAGTGATGCCCATCTCTGCTCCACACAGTGCTTTGCTAAGAGACACACCCTTGGTCATGCAAGAATTTTTATGTGTATACTACTATTCAAACTCACGTATTCATACTTTCAAAGAAAAATGTCTTAACCATTGAGCCATTACTCAACTCTCTCTTTATTCAATATTTGTTTATTAATAAACATAAGTGTGCTATAAGAAATTTGTATAATGGAATAAAAGCACAAAAAATATATTGTGTCTAGTGAGGCAAAAGATTATGCAGAGTTAAAATTTATTAACAAGTGAAAATAGCATCTGGTAAGTCATCTTCATTTAGATATTTAAGGACACATGAAAAGATACGTAATTTCTGTAAATAGCCCTTTTCTAAACTAAATCATATGTCTGAAACTTCATGGTGATTGTTGATAAATATATTGCTGCCTAAAGTTATCAAAGGAGGGAACAGAGGAGGGAACCTGTTATTACATTGCACTGGCAATCTCCCCAAGGAGAAATAGACATATGATATAGAAAGAGATATCAATCATAAATATGCAAGAAGATAAAATTCCAAGCACTAATTGACTCCCAGCACCTATGCCTATGATGCATAGATATGGTCTTTTCATTTTGTACCATATTTCCTGCATATTCCATTCCTGTGTTTTAATTTTTTCATGTTATTTGCTTGAGCCATCCAATTCTTCAATTTTGTTGTCAAATCTTGATATTCTATTTTCCATTTGATTTATTATGCTGGTGAGGCTTTCTTCTGTCATTTTAAGTTGGTTTATTGTATTTTCAGTTTAATCTATATTTTAACTTGAGTGTTTCCACAATATTTCTATCTCCTTCATAAATTCACTTTTCAGGTCCTGAATTGTCTATGTTATTTCATTCAACCATACATGTGTATATTTCTTATAATATTCTTGTGTACTTCAGTCAGGAGTTTTTTCTTATCATCTTTGAGTTCTTTGAGTTGTTTGTGTATTCTTTAAAGTCATTAAGTTATTTGATCATGTTTATGACTGTACTTTTAAATTCTGTGTCCTGGGTTCCTCTGGGTACTTCTCATTGTAGTATACTTCTACAGGAACAGTGGGTTTTGGTGGGATATATTTTTACCTGGAAGTGTCCTCTGACCTCTATGCAGCCAAACTATAGGCACACCTCCTTCCCACACTCCTTGAAAGGAGTCAGGAGTCAGTTACCTCTCCCACCCAATAACTGGAACTTAGCTGCATGAGAGGGAGCAGCTAAGGATATATAAGCCTAGGATGCCTCACCATTTGGTGAGGCTGTTGGGAAGTAATAGGATCTATGTCTGAGTGTGGATTTTCCAGCACGACCTGTAAATGGGGCAGGGGGGAGTGCACACTCTTCTGTAAGTAAACCTCTAACCCATGTTTTGTTCCCAAGCCCAATAAACTTGTTAGGATTTTCCAAATGGTGGTTTTGGAGAATTCTTGCCTTGGGTAGTCATAAGGACGATGGGAGGAGGGAAGCAGACACTATGTGTGCCTCCCAGCATTGAGTTTTAGTATATATATTATCTTGATTTTTCCTATTATTTGTGTTTTTGTGTTATGTCCTGGACATATGGATTTCTTGTGTTGGTTGTGTTTTTGAAATGAAATTCTAAATGACCGTGGATGCCAACCCACAGTACTTTACCTACCAAAACTGTCTATCATAGTTTAAATGGAAAGAACAGGCTTAAAGAATTCAAGTCTACCAAACTAGTACTACAGAGAACACTGGAAGCAGTACAAAGGGATTAAAATATTAATGGCTATACCCAAATGTTAGAGAAAGAGAAGAAAGTATACTTACAGAAGAACAAAATAGGACCAAGAACACACAAAAATTAAATTGATAGTAATTAATACACATCTTTCAATAATAACATTAAGTATTAGTGGTCTCAAATCTGAAGTCAAAAGACACAGATTAAGAAATAGTTCTGTCTTTTTGTTATCTGCAAGAAACTCATCTAACCTTTAAAGATAAGCATTACTTTAGGGTGAAAGTATTGAAAAAATATTGCTATCAAATGTCAATAAGAAACAAGCAGGTGTTACAGTTCTGATATCTGCCAAAATAAACTTCAAAGAAAAACTAATCAGAAGTGATAAATAACATCATTTATTCTGATGAAACGAAAAACTGACAAAGAAAATATTAATCAGCATATATGTGTCACCCAATTTCATAAAAACAGTACTTGAGAACTAAAAGCATGGATTAATCCCAACTCCATATTAGTTGGTGACTTAAATACTCAGTTATCTCCAAAGAACAGGGCAAGTGCTCAAAGAATAAATAGAAAACTATCTGAACTAAATGTTATCAAAGAAGGACCTAACAGACATCT